CCTGCGCAACACCTCTCTTAAGCCACCTCTTCCACAATCAGTTCACACAATAACAAATACGCCACCATCCAGAACGGTTTATTTTGTAAGTAAATATGCAAAAATTAAATTAATACATCTTTAAATTTTTGTATAATTACGGTGATATTCCTGAAGGTAACACTGGCACAAGCGCAGCTGCTGCCCCACCATCAGTGTACCATCATCGAGAAATATTTCATTGCTAATTAATTGCGCGTAATAATTTAATTGGTTTTCACATGTTTGCGTAACTTATCTACCCTTTTTTACCTGTCTCAACATTAAACTGGCATGACCACAACTAGTTACCATTCACCAATAATGTGCCATCATGTAGAACGATTTAATGGTCAATTAATTACGCAAATATAATTTAATTGCTCTTGATATGTTTGCGGAATTGATGGTCAGCTGATTTAAGGTTAAGTTGTCAACAGCACAATCGTTTACTTTAAAAACAAATATGCCGTCTTAGAACGATTATATTGATTGAAGTCTTAAGAGCAATTTCACCATTACGGATAATTACTCAATGAATTGAAGAGCGATTAAATTATATTTTCATGGAATGAAGTTCGCCTTTCGCGAGCTTTAACGACCAGGTGAAAAGTATTAAGAATTATAATTCTACAAAATATAGCAAATAAATTGAACGTTGGTGATGTAGATAATGAACTTAAAATAAACTAATCCGCAGATTATTGCTCTCTGTAATTAGAAAGAAAGGACGGTTTTAGAATGCTTTAATGGTTAGAAAAGGGTTGTCACATACCTCTAGAGAGGCGCGGAGATATCATGTGGTAATCTGACAGACGCTCCCCGGCGCTCTTCGCCCATGATACCACGTTTCTCGGGTCCCCTCCTCCAAGGCGGCGATTGTTCGCCCTGCACCAGCGCAGGGCCATCGCTGGTCCTTGAGGCGCCGGGCGTTGCCGGGAGCCTCTCGTCCTCAGTGTTGAGGAAGCTAAGCAGGTGTAAAGAAAACGTGGAAAGGATATAACAAACACGTGTTCGAAAAGGAAATGGAGGGCAGTAGTACTACGAAAATGATTCAAGCGAACGCTGCCATTCATGCACGTCGATAGATACTAATGCGAATAGGGAACAACGGTCGTCATCAATCGCTGAAGAGTGGAAACGAATTATGTTAAAGAACGAGTATCGTGTTTGGCTGTATGTCCGGAGTTTAGAATCTCATTTAAATTACTCCAGCTCGTGTCGTGAATTGGCGTCTGAGCTGGAGTCAACCAACTGCAATTAAACGAAACTATTAATGCGCGGATGATCTCGTTTGTATTCGATGAGGGTTAGTTTAATTGCGAAGGGTTACTGAAAACTTTAATTGCGAAGGGAGTTCCAAACTAAAACAGCCACCACTTCATAAAAACATCCGTTTCTTGTATTCGTAGCCACAGATGTGCACTAAAATTTCTACAAATGTTGAATCGAATAATAATGTAGAAGTCCAAAAACCTGAAGGGCACTTGGACAAGTAACCTTATTTTTATCATAAAATCGATATCAAGGAAAACATAATCGTAACTTTTTTATATAATGACGAAACTTTGGGAAGCTACTGAAGTGACTATTGGCTTCACATGTAAAATATGGTGACAGGGACAATAATCGGAATATTAGGGGACGCCGGCGTTCTAAAATAAATATGAAGTGAGTGTAGAACGGGGTCATGGGGGAAGCCTAAAACGGTATATGCGCGGCAGATAACTACGGTCGGGGTAAAAAAATCGAAGGATTATTCACTGTGAATTTTTTTGTCGGTGTATGTAATAAGATTGCTAACAGCTACGCGCAGTAGTGAGGCGCAAGTTCCCAAATTTACGGCGTTGGACGCGCGATAGAAATATTAGGATATCGGAGCGATGAGGAGCGCGCCACAATCGATAACGTATAGCAAATTAAAAAATGTTTTCAATAATTTTAGGAAATATTAAATAGATATAATTACTGATTCAAAACATACGTGATCAAATTGAATTATATAGTGTAATTTAAATAAAATACCAAATGTTGATTGAAATGCTAGTTATTGGTAATTACGTGCAATGATTTAATAGTAGATATTATTCAAAGGGAACTTCCAGAAAAACTTGCCCAATCGTACAAATTCGACCAATTGCAGTGGCGGTGGGGTAAGTAAAATTACGAATAGAACCCGCGTAAATAGAACTCGTGGAGCAAGCAGGTCATACTTTGAAACCAATAAAATAAGAAAACATTACAATACATATTTTGAGAATCTGGTTTCGAGAACTCACCCATGACTCCAAGACGGTAGTTGAGTGTGACGAAGATGAGCCCTTGGCGAAGCAAAGGGTCGGGGCGCGCGCCTTGCATGTTGCCTGACCCGACGACGAAAGCCCCGCCGTGGATGAACACGATCACAGGCCGCTTCACCGTCTCCCATAAGTTAGGAGGCTGCTCGCATCCAAACAATACATTTGCGTAATGGTTACTTGGCGTATTACTGTCTTTGTATTACAGTTTAAATGGAGCTAAAATTAAAAGGATACTGTATATTTAAGTGTGTACTGTTTAGTTTGCAAGGTAACATTATTTTTTCCTTACAGAAAAAGGATATCAAACAAATAATAGCATTAAATTTTTATTAAAATGATGCAACTTTGGCAAGGTATTTTAATTTTTATTATCAAGTTCTTTTTTGTTCGTATTATGTATTTCATAATCTGATATCATTATCGTAAAACCGATCGTAAGGGAGAGTTAATAAATTAAAATTTCTAGAAACTGCGAATCAAGATAGGCTCACATCCACAGTGTAGATATTCAGGAACAGGCAGTCTTCTTCTCCGTGGACGCTGCCGGTGTTGTCACTTATACTCCTCTTTTGAATGCAGTTGGGTCCAAAAGATGTAGCGTTTCTGATTCCGGTCCAAGTCTCCGGTTCTTTCGGATCCTATTAAAAACGCAATGCAGATGTACTTACAAATTAGTAGCGACAGGGTGAAATACATTATTGATGTTTCTTGTAATTTGATTTTACTTGACGGGCTGTAACAAAACACTGTGAAACATTATGAATGCTATGCGGAACACTTAATATCACAACTCATTATTGTATTATTTGCCGTATAATTTGGGTGAGATCTACCATGAATTTACCTGATACGTTATAAACGGTCGCCGGCGCCGCTAGAGGAATTGCGTAGCTATTCTCAGTTACGTCACGGAAGTAAAACGATTCCAATCAACGTGTATTTTGGGGCAGGTGACCGTCTGGGATCTCGGGAAACAAACGTTGCAAGGCCCTTGGCTGAAGAGATAAAATGCACTGCCTGACTGCGATGTCACGAGTCTAATTCACCTAAACTTCAATGAGGATTTCTCTAGGTGCTCTAAGTACTTAAAAAACGAATTACAAAGGTGCTAAGAATATTTTTTTAAAGTTTCTTCTAATGTAGTTTTTTCAAAGAATAATCACTTTTAAGTCAACTTTCAACAGTGCTGTCATACAAAAGTTCCCTTGAGCATATGATTTTCTACCTCAACTTAAAATTTAAATTAGATAACTTAACTGATTCAATTATTAATTAGTTCTTACTAAAAATAGAAAGTAAAAATTAATCTGTAAATAAGGTAGTGTAAAAATGTTTGAAAATACGAGTGTTGATGTCGTAACATTTGCATGTAGTGAAGAGAATTTTCAAAAAGAATTTTTTTTTGAAAAACTACACAATCTTTAATTTCTAGTCCCTTCTTAGGAAGACCGGAAAGTATTGTAATCTTACGCCAGAAAACGATAAAGTTTCGACAGAAAAACTTATTGCCAGACCCTGGTGACGAAAAAGGAGAAAGATATTGTTCATATAGAGAAAATTACTCCTCTTAACACATTGTGTAGTGAGATACTGAAGATAAAAGATTTTTTCGTAAGCGCTGTCCTTTCACGACATCTTGAAACAAAAACACAATTTTCCAAAAATACTAGCGGAACCCCGCAGATGTTCTTTCCTTCATCATCCTCTTTCTCCTTCCCTTTCTCTCTCTCCGTCTCCCACTCCTTCTCTACTTCTCCGTCCTCGTCTCTCCTGCCGTCTCTCTACCTCTCCGTCTCTCTGCCGCTCCACCTCTACCTCCCCGTGTCTCTCCCTCTCTCTCCCCTGTCTCTCTCTACCATGTCTCTCTCTCTCTCTCTCTCTCTCTCTCTCTCTCTTTTGTCTGTCTTCCTCGCCTTTCGTCACACCTCGAGGCTCAGCAACAATGAAGGTCAGGTGAAGCGCTGTTTAAATGGAAATGAAGCGCAATTTTGTTCTGCAGCGACATGTAATAAAGTTATAATAGAATTAACAGTAACAAAAATTAACACCTGGGTGAAAAAAACCGTAGATGTGCCAACTTTCATGGAGATCGGTAACACCGTGTCGGAGTTTACAACGTTATCTGTTATACTGTCTCTACTCATTTTCTCTTAAAAATATGTATGTACCACCCGCGTTAACTGGTTCTAATAACCGTGGAGAATAACCCACTGTCTCCAAGCACTTTTCGAATTACTGTTACAAAGTGACTACTACTCAAACGGAGCAAGGGATTTTTTTCAATTTTCAAAAATACAGAGAGTGCGCCGAAAATGGAACCAGTACCAAACTCTATACTTCGAGTCGTTTTTGAGAGAGTGAAGAAAGGAAGAGAGTAGTCTAAATAAATTATATTACTTCTAAGTATACGTAAAATATGTACAAGAGATGTGAAGATGAAATCAATGGTGTTTAATAGGATACAGAACGGTTTATAACAAATATATTCAAAATCATACTTGAAAGTGGCATTTCTTTGATCAATTTAATATTTTGCATTTTGGTTAATTTGTTGTGTAGAGTGTAGGAGGATCAGTTTAAAATTTTGAAACCACAAATGCTAGGGTGTCTATTGGAGCTGAGTATTATAGATCTTC